AGGATTCACCTTCTTAAAATTATAACCTTTTTTGCCAAAAATACTTTTTAGAAGGAAAACACTACGTTTTAATTATAAAAATACGAATTTATTTGAGGTGCATCTAACTTATTTGCATTTTTACAGTTTTAGTGGAAACATCAAAAGTGAAAGCACAGAACTTTTAATCTTTTTACAGATTTAAGAATTAATTCACAAATCTCTTGTAGATTTTACAAAAATTATGAAAAATTAGATGATAGTAGTTGAGTCACATTGCCATGTAATCTTCAAAGAGTGTTTTAGAATAACCGGACTCCCAAAGTATTTCTACATTTACAACATTCATAGTAATCTATAACAATTCTGTAAAATATAAAAGTATTTTTACAATAACCTTGTCAATATAAAAATATATAGGTGAATTTACAAATATATTTTATGTATTAAATTATTAATATTATATATTCTCTTACAGCAAAATTTTTATTTGTATATTAAACTATATTTATTTGACGACTAGGTTTATTGGATTGAGTTAAATCAATGTACTTGTTTAATAAAGAGAAAAGAAAGGAACTAAAACACATTGGGACAAAACTAGAAACATTTTAGAATATAACGAATATCGTTAATGTAAAAAAGGGTTTATAAGCTTAACTGAATTTTGCATTACATGAGAACTACCTATATGGTGTAATCGTTTATTACAGCTTTTAGTTTCTTAACCCCTTATTGCCTTGTATCTTTTTCAAGATTTTCAGATTGAATTTTAAGAGAAAAATGTTTTTTTTTAATAACTTGACTATGGTTTCAACTAGGAAGAAGTGGTTTGCATCATTAAATTTCTCTTTAAAAGCTCTACAAAATGTTTTTTTAAAAAGTCACCGCTGAGTTGTCCGTAAGGCCAGAAAATAGGATTTTCAGAAAGTTTGGGGGAATTTTAACAGAAATAAGTGTTTTTGTTAAATAACTTGACCAAAAAAAATTTTGACCTTACGGACAACTCAGCGGTGACTTTTTAAAAACCATTTTGTAGAGCTTTTAAAGGGGAATTTAATGATGCAAACCACTTCTTCCTAGTTGAAACGATGGTCAAGTTATTAAACAAAAACGTTTTTCTCTTAATTTTTCAATCTGAAAATCCAATTATCTTGCCTTACAGACAACCTAGCATGAATTAGTAAAAAACAGTTTTTAGAGCTTTTAAAGATAAATTCAACGATGCAAACCACTTCTTCCTAGTTTAAACGATAGTCAAGTTAATTAACAAAAACATTTCTGTTAAAATTCCCTAAATTTGATCTGAAAATCCTATTTTCTGGCCTTACGGACAACTCAGCGGTGACTTTTTAAAAACCATTTTGTAGAGCTTTTAAAAAGGAATTTAATGAACTAAAAAACATAAAACCCTTTTAACAGTGGAACACACTGAAATGCGTTGTCGGTTAAATCCTTTTTATATTGAATATCGCTCGTACTGTGTAAGACATTTTGTCGTTGTAGCAAGGCCATAACGTAGATTATTCGGAACTGAATCCAGTAATATCCATGACTTAAAATACTTAAAGTTGTCGTTTGAATCCTTTTCCCGTTAATGATCCTTTTTCCATTAATGCCTTCAACTAAATACCTGTCTGAGTGCCACATTTACTTTGATCTGGATACTGTTTAACAGCGAAAAGGGCAACCAAAAAGCCGACACACGGTGGCTAAAAGGGAAACCAACTTAAGTTATCTCCAACTCTAACTGGACAGAAAGTAAAATATTCATGTACTCGCAATACCTACTAACTTATTCAATTCAAAGGTTCTTATGCTCAACCCTTTAATGATTCCCTTAGACCCTGAAATTGCCTATGTATTCTTACATGATTATTGACAGGCCACTGTCGTTTAAAATATACTACAGTTCTGCAGCATGAAAGCCTTTTTACTTGTTTAGTTTTTCCCTTAGATGCTAGAATCCAAGCTTGATTGAGGGAAGCCTACCGGAACCCTTAAGGGGGAAGCAGAGGGATGCCTGAAAGGGTAACCAAAAAAAAAATGAGCCACAGCAGATGGAAGGTGTTTATCGTCTGTCATATTTTGTTTATTTTACTTGGATATTAAGGGTATGGTCCGTTATTAACCGAAATATCGATTACTCGGTCCAAAACCAACCGCTCTGCTTGACATTCCTGAAAAACCGTTTAAATTAGGGGCAGGGTTACCTGAAAATGGTGACTCAAACGTCAAATCAATATCCGGTATATTTTTACGCTTACCATTAAGTCGAATGATGCCGCGTTTGAGAATCCACATCGGATGCATCGATGTAGTAAATCTTTGTTCACGTGATTAAGTATACGTAAATGTAATTGGACAGATGTGTCCGATGTGGATAAAAAAACGCTCGAGATGTAAAAAATGCATCCGATGTGGATTCTCAAACGCGGCAATCATTTGTACATCGGATGTAGCCCCCATTATTTGTACATCATAATTCTAACCTAACTTTATTTCAGATGATGGAGTGGAAGACTTAAGTATTTTTCTGTTGTATTTTATAAACCTTAGAACCAAATTTCACATACATGAACAAATAATAATAATGCCGTGACAACAAGAAGACGAAGCAACGACTTCTCGTAGGGTGGCGGCTTCGCCGCCACCAGAAAATTTCAATCCATACCTGGCTACGCCGATCGACATAAACACTAACGGCCTGGACACAGCTCACCTACTCTGTCAAAAGGTGACCGATGTACAAATAAAAGGCGTACATCCGATGTACTGCTATAGTCACTGGCTTTTTTTTAATGCTCCGGGAAATAACTTTAAACCTGTTCAAAGTAGATAATATTATTGTACATCACCCTAAGAAGACCTTACCTTTTAACGAGTGATCCGAAATCATATACCAGAAGGCCATCCAATGAAATAGTAATTTTCAGCATCATCGAGATTCGAACCCTGTTTCCCATTTCGCTATTAATCTCATCATATACAGGTACGGAAACTAAAGACAAGCCCTCTGTTTTACAATGAATTGGACACGGTATAATAGGACCACACGTGAAACAAACAAAGACAGCTCAGCAGCGCGAAGTGCCTGGCGCATTGACGTATGACTTCCACCTCACTCCCACTTACTCTCGTCTCAAATAGATTTGGCTTAGATGGTCCGCCTTTAAATTTCTGTACCTGTTCATGAGGTTGAACTGTTGTATGTAAAGCAAATACGATAGAAAGCTGAATTAAATGAGACCTATTATATTTGGTTTCAAATATTGTTGTCGCCATTGAAATAATAAATGACTGACAAAGCTAAAGAAAGTCAGGGTTGGTATATTTAAGGCGGTTGCGAGGTAGGTCTAGTAAATAAATGAATTACTGAGACCAAGGAGAAAATAGTAGTCAGCTCAAGATGGCAACATTTTTCTGAAGTTCCTTTGCTGAAAAACCACAATTATCGTATTTCCTGCAATAATTATGTTATGTCTTTCTTGTAAGATATGTCTTATCTACTTATTAAGTGCAATGTGGTACAAGTAGAATGAACAGTGTTTGATATTTTCAAATTTCAACGTCTTGCTTTGTTTCTTGTTTTTCCTATAAAACAAATATATTTTTATTTGTTTTGCTATTATTAGCTTTGTTGGCGGAGCCTGTCGCCGACAAGTACACGATTTGTCACTGATAAATAATCAAAAATGTTTGTGCGCAAGTGCGATTTGTAACAAATACCTGACAAGAGATCACCGCGAACGACTTGTGTACCAAAATGACCATCATACATTTTAACTGCAAAAAAGACAGTGAGACAGAAGACTGTATATTGTGAAGATAGTTTTTACAATAGATACCAGAAACATTGCATTGTAAACATTGTAGTTTTTAATTGTTGTTTACATTTTTATTAGTTCGAATATTGAAATTTTATCATTTTTCAGAAGAGTCGGCAAAATTAGAATCTCAAGCAACCATTCTTCTTTGTTTCGTTCTTTTTTTTTTTCTTCGTTAACGTAACATTTACATCACTTGTACTTACTAAGCATGTTCTGAAAAATTGTTCATGCATTAATGCATTATCGTGGACCAACATTAGTTTGCTGATTGTTTTGACTTATCGAAATGCGCATGCTCATCTGTCGTAGACTTGTCGGCGATAGGCTCTGCGAACAAAGCTATTGTCTTGATTCCGTGTTTTGTTTTTTATTGTATTCATTTTGTTGTTTAAACAATCAGTAATTAATTTATTGAGGAAGTACTAACATTACTGGAAATATAAAGGATAAACAGAAGATATTCGTTTAAAATTGCACTTTTACTTAAGTACTAACTAATCATTGTCAAATTCTTAATTCTCAATTTGCTCGAGTAGGTTTTGTCAACCTGAATCTTCCATAAAAAAAATAATTTCTTCAAACAATTTGTATGTATGAATGTTCTTTGAAATCTTTAATTAAATATATACCCGGGATGCCGGCCTCGCTTTCAATTTTAATTTTGAAATAACGAAACCAAAAAAGTATAAAATTGAAAGTGGCATATTTTACACGCCTAAAAAATAAGAATTCTAAAAAAACAATGCCCGCATTTTATATCAAACCAGAAGTTGAACACCATGAAAATTAGAAAGGTTGTTTTTTAAAAACCACCCACGTATACGTTTTTCTTATATTAACATGCTTGGCGACTATTTCGGATAAAAATAGCGTCCAAGATAGAAAGCTATGTCGTAACCCCCTTAGATATACTTGCCCTGAAAGAAAACAACAGCTCGGTAGTTCCCACTCTGTCTCTGGCTGTCTACTTCCTCCAATCTTTAGACTATCCACTTTTTGGTGTAATTGACGCTTTCTATATTAATCAGACACCAATATTTTCTGTTTTTCCTGAAAAGCACATTTTTGCTTCTTTCGACATATTTTAATATTCTTACCGTAATCCATTGGAATATATTTTGAGGTAGAATTCATTAGAGTAAAATTATGTTCATTAGTTTTTAATTCTGAATCATTTTATTTATTTTTTATGGAATAGACTGGAATAGTCATACATTTATTAAACTAGTATGGCTGGTCGTAATTTATTTACAAAAATACTCTTTCCTTTAATAAAGCAAAACAAGATTCATTCAAAAAATAAAAACAAAAATATATTGCTATCTATGAACTAACTCTACAAGTAACATTATTCCTATCAATAAATAAGAAAAAAATATGTACAGCATTTTTGAAGACATATCGAAACCCGAAATAAATACAAATAAATAAAATGGTTACTTAAAGCATTAAGTCAGTAGTTAATTTGGGTAAAAAAGTAGACATATACGAAAGAACAATACAAAATATAAAACTATTTTGTCGCGTGGTTTATATTTATATTAAATCAATACGAAAATTCCGAATGTAAAATGATTGGAAATATTGAGTCTTTAACACAAAAATAAACCATGCAGATATCATTTTCAGTGGCAGTTAGTCTCAAAAACGCGGGATATAAAATGTGAATGTTCCAACGAAAGTACAGAACTTTACTAAGTCTATTTAACACTTTGAAGACCGCATTGAAAAATCTTATTTCTCAAATATGGACCGGTATTTTTTTTATTGTTAATTACGTATACTATTTTTTTAAATATGTTTTTAGTGTACAATAATTTGAGGTAGACATTATTTAACCCCTAGATTTATTTCAATTAAAGTGCCCACGCGTGATCACCCGGTCCCAACGTGTAAATTTACTTTCGTAAACCGCATGCCCACCGGTGAGTCAGTTTGTCTTGCACATTCTAGCTTTGACGAAACTAAATAAGTTGTAACACAAATATTGAATATAATATATATTAAAAGTTGTGTTCTAAATGATTTTTTATTTTACCTTGAAAATCTTAAAAACTCGTTAATTTTGTTTGATTAAAAAAAAATCTTTTTAAAATGAGGCTATGTCAAATTAACTAAGTCCGCTATATGCAGTATCTCTTCGAGGGACCAGCGAATGAACTATTGTACATAAATTAAATTTAAATCATGCCCACAGGTGTACAAGCGGTCCCCAGGTAAGTAAAACATTTCGTGTGCCCACTCGTTAGCACGCGGGCCAGTGATGTTGTTGCGGAGTAACCCACCGGTGGGCATGCGGTCTTTAACGTGTTAAAAAATTCAAAATTTACAGTGCAACGTTCCAACAACGAATGAATTGTGATCCGAACTGATTAAAAATTGTTCAACTTCTAGGATTTTACAAGAATTTTTAATTCTAAATCAGTTCAACGTTCTATCTCACATATTTTGATATTAATTAACACATTAGTAGTGAAAGATTTGAAAGAAGACATCGAATTTTCTGATTTAGCAGGATTTACAAACGAAATTGATGACCATGCACACTTCTTGAACGATATTGTTGAAATAAGACACGTAACAATGACTCCGAACATAAAACAATAAGCGTCCGATTTGAAAATTATTGCCAGCATATACGCTAATTTTGGAAAGCTGGACGAATCGAAGTATAGGAGCGGCATAAAAGGCCTCGAATTTCGTTAGGCCAAGTGTACTGAGCGACAAGATTATATTGAAAAATAAAATCCATATTTTGTTTCATTCACTCTTAGACTGGAAATTATTTATACCATCCTCGTAGTTTATAATGGTCAATATTAAAGAAATTCTCTATAGACTGTGCTTTTTTATCTTCAGGTGACAAATGTAGTAAGGCCTTGTCTATGTCACGAAGACACAACAGATTTGTATCCGTACCCGGCTCTTATGGTGTCGGTGAGACCGATCATACAACGCGGGCAGTCACCTTTAAGGGACCAGGTATAAGTATATACTGTAGTGTTTGGCTATGAAAAACGTTCTATGAGCCATTTCTTTGACTATTTTTTTTTTTGTATGTGTCATCGGCTTCAACTACCAGGATTATTTCGCCTCGTGTTCTGTGTAGGCTTATTATTAACCAAATTGAGCATAATTTTGTAATCAAGTGGTTCTATTAGAAAGCCCCATACAGACTCAATTTGACATGTGATTTGCTTCACGAAAAGGCTTGTTCTCACACAGGCCTTTTGACTACACAAAAATTTGCTGAATTCCTCTAAGAAATCTTGGAACATCCCTCCTATGGCCCACATTTGTTGCCCTGCAACTATCATTTGTTTGGGCCACTGAAAGAAACAATGGGTGAACGCTTTTCGAAAATGACAAAGATGTCAGCAACTGGGTTGTAACACAGCCCCAAACTTATGGGGAAGGAAACACAAAGCTTCCTAGGCGTTGGCAAAAATGTGTAGATCTTTAAGGGAGAACATGTAGAAAAATTTAAAAAATGTTTCTTTTTTGTTTTGCATTAATAAATTAATTTAAAAAATTCCTGTTTATATTTGACTGATCCTCATACAAAAATATTCGTGAGATATTTTTTTACGACAGTATGACAGATGATAGTGACATTTGGCATGGTTGTAGAGACACTCAGTCAAATTCGGTTGGTGGACCTATAATAGCCCTCTTTGGTTTTAAAAATAATGTTTTTACCAAGGGATAAACCACTAAGGTCAAAAGGTACCCGTATTTCAGATATCACCAAAAATTCGTATGTACATAAATTATTATATGCATTTTTGGCGAAATTACCCATGGTTTCATATAATTTCGCCGAAATCCCTCTTAATTTTATACGATTCCGGCAATACAATTTTGTTCACTTGATTTTTTGATGATTGGCCGAATTTCGGTCTTGATTTCGGTGATGATTTTGGGATTTCCGTAATGATTTCAAGATAATTTGTAGCCATGTAGCACCCCTACACCTCAATTTGGTCTTTCGAGCCGGTTTTATGACAATTCACTATTTAAAAGTTGCTCATGTTGGACAACATTTTATTATCAGTAAAAAGTGCTATTTTTTTTGATTTGACAACGTATATCATTAGCTATAAATTTCTTAACCAAAGAATTAAAAAAATATTGAGAAACCCCGGTTTGAGAATAACTGCCCCGACGCGGCGTCTATACAATATAATATATAATACAGTGCCCGCCAAAAAATGCGAGCATCGTATGGAAAACTTGTTATTATTAATTTGTTTAAATAAAAATGCTTAATAAAAGTTGAGGCTTGGTAAATACAGTCATCAAAAATCAAAATTATTCAGTGATAAATGGGTGTGTCCGAAAACATAAATTTACTTAACCTTATTATTCACCATTTTCCATATAATATGGTGCATACTTTTTGGCGGACACTATATATTATGGAATTTATAGTAACCACAAAAAATCAAAGAGCACCACCTCGTTTCATTAAATTAAAACAGTCAAAACAAGGAATAGAAAGACTAAAGATACTTTTTACAGTAAACGAAATTATATTTTGTGAATGTTAAGATGTGTCATATACATTATTACTAAAAAAAATACCGGATGTCCTTTTATGTTGCCCCCTAATTTCTCTATAAATCGTCTCTTTACTGGTAAAATCCGGGAAGTTCCTAAAATTAATGTAAAGAAAAATATTTAGTTTTTATTTGTAACTTTCAGTTTGGAGAACTATTTATTAAGATAGTTGCTTTAAAAAAAGGGTTTTTAACAAATTCAAGTTTCCCGGTTTAAATTTATTACACACGTGTTTTTAATTTATCTAATGAATACAACTCTTGAAATATCATGAGGGAGTTGTTAAAAAAATAATTTTTAACAGTATATTTCGTGTTTCATACGATTATCGATGACTGAACCTTAACCGATTTTAAAAACGAAACATTTGAAACTTTAAAAAATATACTTTTCATTGCAATTTGTAATATATATAATAATCTGTTTAAATAGAAAAAAACAAACATAATGGTACATCCAGTATCAATAGAATTCAAGCGAATACATTATAGACATTACTTTTTAATAAAAAAAAACACCGGTGATCAGAAACAATCCTATATCAAAATTGGGATGCCATGAATTTATTTTTGAAATTACCGTAAACATCATCGCATCGTTCTATCCCTTTAAAAAATGTATCTACAGATTATTTTTGATTATGCAACTTTTGATAAAACGTTCGCATCTTATTGTAATTGCACCTGTAACTCCGAGATATCAGTCATTTCTTCCTCCATGTCGCTACCTTCGACCGATTCGTATTTTTGTTCGTATTTTGCTTCGATGATCTCCTCGTGATCGTGGTCGCCATCTTGAACGACCGCCGTCATGTTGGCCGAGGAGTTCATCGAGTCGGAGGACGTGTTGGTACCTTGTGCGTCTTCACCGGTCGTTGAAATTTGCGGTTTCGTTCTGCCGTATTTTTCGTGGATGTTTCGGTGCCTCTTCAGAGCGAATCTAAAAAATGAGAAAAAAAGTCAATATCATCTTCAATGTCAAACGCCAACTTCAATGCCAAACTTTAATGTCAAACTTCACTATTAAACTCCAATGACAACGTCAATTTCATTGTCAAAGTCAACAGTCACATTTGAAGGGTATGGTGACAGTTTGGACTCTCTTGTAGAATGTGCATTTAATAGCTCACCTGTCGGAAAATCCTACAGAACAAATGTCACATTTAAAAGGTTTTTCTCCGGAATGTACTTTCGCGTGGTTCTTTAAATGCGTGGCTTGATTGAAGCAGGATCCACAAATGTCGCATCTGCAAATCATAACAAAAAATATAGATACCAAAAGTCCACCTTGAAAATGTTTTGTAGGCTTACCGATATGGTTTTTCTCCAGTGTGAATTCTCCTATGGTTCCACAACGTCGAATGCCTCGCAAAGGATTTATCGCACACCTCACAAATGTACGGTCTTTCGCCGGAATGAATTCTTTCGTGGTTTTTTAGATGCGGCGATTGTGAAAATTGCATGCCGCACACATTGCACCTGAAAGAAACAACAATACATAATAACTAAAAATAAAGAGCCTGCTTTGCTTATGTTAAAGTGAATAGTAAATGGAGCTTGAATAAGCAGGAAAAGAAGCGACACAATATCAACAATTTAACTGGTAACGTTGATACGGTGTCGTTTTTTACCTGCGTGTGCGAGCGCCATTTACTATTCACTTCAAAACAAGCTAAGCAGGACGGATGGTTTGATCTTGCTAGCACTGTCTTCAGATTGTTAATTTTAGCACAACAAATTTAAACAATATGAATATATTATTTACTATTCTAGCTAGATCAAAGTGTTACGTTCAATTCTGCATGTTAACGTTGGTCCTCAAAATTATATTACAATGTCCAAAATTAACGCACAGGTTTTGACTGTCTGATGAATAGCCTATGACAGCCGGTTTCGTGGTCCATTAGTTCCAAATTTACATTATTCAAAACAAAATATTCATTCAGTTCGATTTGAATGTGCCAACCAACTACGTTTCTTGTGCCCAACCTAAATCAAACAAACATTAAGAACGAAATGAGACAACGAAAACTCCTTCTTACACCATTTAACAAACTATCCAATATATGTACAAATATGTAACTCCAGACTTTAGATGGTCGTATTCCCATGCGAGTTAGTTGGATATGTACAGCGAACTGATTCGTTGCTTACTATACACGTACGAATCTGTTCGACAGTCATAAAGTTGGACATTTTGCAGTATTTGACGATAACAAAAAGAAGAGAATGTGGTCGAAACGTTGGTACCTTCAAATAAGCAAATACTCTGACCTGACATTGTTAACAGAACTTAAAGTTAGCGAACCTCATGATTTAAATAATTATTTACGCATGGGCATTAAATCATTAGTACGTCCCAAAATTGAAAAAAAGAAAACACACATTCGACAGTCAATAAATGCTGTTATTTAGACAAACGGCTGCTGATCTGAAGTTCTCATGTGCAATATTACCACAGCTTCCGATTCCTGAGCAGTTGACGAACATCTTCCTGGTCTTTTGTAAACGAAAGTAGTTTGAAGTACCGAAAAGTTGGCTCGTATACATTATCAGTACCACTTCCTGTCCTCGTAGTCTTCTTATTTTTTGCAGTTCCCGTAGAGCCATTTTTTTTCTAACATGTTTAATACTGTTTGGGGAAAGTTTATTTGCATTTCTGTGCCAATTGCCAGTATACGTCATTCCGCAACAGTTTATTACTATACTCCTTGTATTTTGTGTTCTACAAGCACGGAAAGAACTGGTACATGGATATAAATCTTTCCCAAAACACTTTATTATCAGAGGACGAAATGTTATTCCTCAAGTAACCTCAAAGTATTTGTTTCACTACCCACGTGTCGATACATCCCGTAGACCGACTTGTTTTTAAGAATGCACTTTAGGAGCAAATGGATATACACGTATGGATTTGTACAATTTACATATCCACTGTACAGATCTAACAGATAAACTCGCCTTTAACACAAACACAGCGATCAATCTTAAAATATAAAAGTTAAATGTGGTTATAGCGCAAATAGAATCAACAAACGTAGTAAACAGTATGAAATGTCCCTAGAATAGGAATCAAAATAATATTATCACAGATATGGAATAGATAATCCACCTACCGCATATTTAGATCAAAATCAAAGTAATAGGGCCACAAGTGTTGGTACCAAGGCGTATTACGTCATGTGTTAACTAATCATATTGTAACGAAAAGTTCTGCACTTACCTATATGGTTTCTCACCGGTATGTATTCTAGAATGGTTTTTCAAGTAAGCCGCTTTGGCGAACGCTAATCCGCAAATATTACATTTGAAGTTCTTCTCGCCAGTGTGAAGACGTTTGTGAGACCACAAGGAAGAATACCTGCTGAAGGAACCTAAAAAAAGAACAATAATTTAGCTGAAATATCAGAACAAAGAGTTCTTGATTAATCAAAAGTACCATCACCCAAGTTGGGTAATTCAAGCTCCTTTAAGGCGCTTTCAACCTCCTTTAAGACGCTTTCAACCTCAAACTTTCCGTTTAAACTAAGTGCTTGCGTTTACTTATTGACAGCTCAATCTGGTTTCACAAATGTCGAACAAATTGGTACATTTGTTTAAATATATAGCTAATCTTAGCTACAAAAACCGAATAAGCAACATGTTTACTACAAGGTAGCATAAATTAAATACGCTCCGGAAAATGCGTCGACTGCTCCGACAACTATTTCGCGTAACGTCGACAAAACTTGTTCAGCAGAAAATTAGTAAACTGTTATGTCTGCTAAACCCAAAGTTCAACAAGGTTGAAATAATTGACAGTGAAACAACTGTTGCTCCTGCTCTGTTCATACCAAACCCTAAATTACCGAACGTGCTACTTTACGACGAATTCACAGACCATCTTCTGCTACGTAGAACTCCCACTATCGCTTTCGATGTCAAAATGATTCAAATATCTTGCAACGCAATTATTGGATCAGTAGCAAATTTTGAGCGCCGAGTGGAATTCAGAAGAATTTAGTGGCAGAGGAATAAAAATTAACCAATCACAGAAGTAATGCGTGCTGCTAACGAAAGTTTGTGAATCCGCTGTAAGAATAATACGGTCTACAATAGGTCTATCGAAAAAGTGTGACAACTTAAGGACCTTGGAGTAATTTTTGATATAAAGCTCAGTTTCATTTGCAGAAACTGTAAATACTTCCATTTTTTTCTGAAAACCTTGTACTTTGCATATGTTCGATCGCGTCTTGAATATGCTGCTTTGGTTTGGTGTTCATATTACAACATTCACAATCATCAAATTAAAAGTGATCAACGATCTTTTTTAAAGTATGTCACTTTCAAGCTTGATCGTACTTATCCCTGTCCAAGGGTTGATAACAATCTACTTCTCAATAGGTTTGCCTTTCTTTCGCTGGCTAATCGCAGACAATACCACTCTACCAAATTGATTACAATCTGGTGAATGGTAAAATTAACTGTTCAGAATTAAGTTATTTAAATTTTCATATTCCTAGACTTGTGAGCAGACTTAACCAATCTTTTTACCTTCAAACATCTCGCACTAACAATTATGCAAAATCGCCAATGTTTTCAACATGTTCTATCTACAATAACTTTTGCAGTGATTCCGATATCTACTTTGATTCATTATTATTATTACTATTATATGTTTATTTGTTTATTGTATTTTTATATATGTTACGGTTGAAGTGTTCCTTGGCTAGTTTATAGACTAGCTGGATTGTATACAAACTATCCAAATGTCTGGCTATTTTGATGGAAAATCATATTTCTACTAAAATGACTATGAATATAAACAAATGTTGGTTTGTATCCCATCCAGCTAGTTTACAAACTATACAAGGTTTATAGCCAAAGTACAAACCACAAGAAAAGTACACAAATTAACCGGTGTTTTTGGCTAGTTTACAAACTATCCACAGTATTTGGATAAGGTGTGAATTTAATATTCGTAGTAATAACCAACTCGTCGGTTAGTATGCAAACTGACCAATCCTCTTTGGTTAATTTATTAGAAAAGTGAGGTTATGTTTATGGTGCTTTGTCTGTGGTTTTGTGCTGTTTACTGGGGTGTCTTGCAAAGTTTGTTTAGGGGTAGGTACCTATTGAAAATGAATCAAAAGCAACCTATAAATAAACTTTATTTTTGACTAACCTAAACTAAATTAACCAAAGAGAATTGGTCAGTTTGCATACTAACCGACGAGTTGGTTATTATATGTTACTACGAATATTAGGTCCATAATTTATCCAAATACTTTGGATAGTTTGTAAACTAGTCAAAACCAACGGTTAATTTGTGTATTTTTCTTGTGGTTTGCGCTTTAGCGATAAATCCTGTATAGTTCATAAACTAGCTGGATAATATGCAAACCAACCAATATTCATAGCTATTTTAGTTTTTTTTAACTCCACCCACAGCGAGTGTAGATGATATTTTCTCCTATTCATATATTCCACCTTTTGTTCCCCGATCCAAGTAAGTACATGCTTCAAGAGGTTCGCGGCAGAGAAATACGAACGCTATCCACATTCACTTTTTAATACACGACAGTTCCGTAGTTGAATTGTGGACGTGATTGAGGTTCATATAGTAATAAATGAATACGCGTTTTAAATATGAATACTTTCTAATGTACTTCAATTTCTAGAACCAACAATTATGCAGACATGTCCATCTTCTACAAGTGCGTGAAAACGAATTTGAAGTGCTGTAAAAAATGTGAGTAGACAACGTTCTAGTCAGAGACAGTAGGTAACTTTGTTGAATAAATTAGACACTTATGTAAGCAAGATGACTTACCGTTGCAAATATTACAGTGGAAAGGTTTATCAACACTGTTTTGTTGATTTTTGGAGCCGCCAATAAAAATGATACCGCTGCCATTACATTTCGTACATTTGGTTACGCTGGCTACACCTCTTCGTTTCACCGGGTGGTTATTTTTTACTCCTATAGGTATTGCATTTTGAGTTCCTAAAATAATATTTATATCACAATTCTTTTTTAGCTTCATCCACACCATTAACCAATTGATAACAATTAGATTCGTACTAACCAAGACCCTGAGTTTGCGTCTGTGTTCCGGTACTTTCTTCGAATTTGACGGAAGTATCGGGAGCGGTAGCCACTACAAATATTTGAGGTTGTATGGCTTCGGCGCTTAGACAATTCTCGCATTTCACTTTCATAACGGCTCGCTTTTTATTATTGTCTTGCGGTAGAGGAGCACCGCACGATTCGCAATTTTTGATCTTCAACGTATTTTGTTGTTGTTGTTGTTGTTGTTGTTGTTGCTGCTGCTGCTGTTGTGGCTGCGTTTGAACCTGGAAATTTTTAATGACCTATTTTCAATTGTATGAATTATAACGAAATCTGTTCAAAAATTATCTAACTGAAGCATGTATTATAAAAAAAGTACCTGTTGTTGTTGCTGTTGTTGTTGGGTTTGTGGTTGATGCGATTGTATTTTATGCGTTTTCAAGTCATTTTGTGTGCCGAAAGTGAGGCCGCATTCTTCACAGGAAAACCGTATCCGATCTGCTGAAACTATTTGAATAGTTGGCTGTTGCTGAGGTTGCTGAACCTATAAACAATGTATTATCTTTTTTACCATTTAATATAACTCTTTTTCAGGATTATTTATGAGTTATACATAGAGTATTGGTATAGTTGAACAGCGTTAGTATGAAAACAGTGAAGCAATTTACGTCGCCATGCATCGACACTCGCCTCTTTGAAACATAATTGTTCTGTTCACGTCACCGTTGACCACTGCCAGTCTTTCAATTTTAATATGCCATTCTTGAGACAACCAATCATGAATCAAGTTGCATGGCTCTGGTATGTTTCCGTTTGTTGTTTAATCATCGCCGTGCGGTTAGTAGCACGGTGATATGGCCTGCTCCATTACGTTTTTACACTCAATATAGTGTCTTTGGAGAGCAATAAAATTCTTACAAATATGTTTCATGGTTATGACCATGGGTAGAGTTTCAAGATATGCCAAGATAAAATGAGGCCGTACTTAAGTCTTACAGAGACAGTAGACAGTAGAGACAGTACAGTACGACATATATAGCTGAAGCTTCGAAGATCAGTGAATACAAATATTAGAAATTAAAAATTAAAAAAAACCGACTTCAAAAACGTGCAGATGCCGTCACCACATCTTAACCAAATTTTTATGGGACCACCCCTGAGGTACCCCCTTGCTAACAAAAAAAAGAATCATATAAATCGGACAAGGTGATAAAGTATTATCGCTAAACATACATAAAAAAATTAAGTGTTTAAGGATTTTCTCACACACCCAATTATTATATTTTGACCAAATTTATATGGAACCACCCCTGAAGTACCCCCTTTCTAACAAAAAAAGAATTATTGAAATCGGACACCGTGTTGAAGAATTATCGCTGAACATACATAAAAAAAATATATCGCGACGAATTGAGAACCTCCTCCTTTTTTGAAGACGGTTAAAAAGAGCAGAGCTCCGGTTTTTCGAAATGATCAATTTAATCTTAATAGCTATGTTCGCGGAGCCGATCCCGAACGTATTTTGAACGCTAAGGTAAAGCCTACATAAACATTTAAACAATATGCAGTGTAATGTTCACCTTAGCATTCTGAATACGTTTGAGATCGGATCCGCGAACATAGCGTAGTGGCTACGTTGACAGGCAGGGCAAATACAATATTTTAAAACAACTTGTTGCAGTTCCCAGTATTAAAGAAACTTACATTTCAACAATTACTGCTTGATAAAATTGTTGGTTAATAATTTATATTTGGAGATAGGGGACTTGGATGTGGCTGATTTCAAGTTTACCCTTTTTCAAACAGTTGACTTTGTTGTAACACACCGGCTATTCTGGCTTTGAAGATCTCGGAAGTTCTTGAATGAAGAAGGTTTTCTTAAATTGGTTCTTTCAGTAATTTATTTTAATGGCAAAACGATAAACGATTACAAATGATTGTTTGGTTGTTGGTTGCAGCTTATTATGTATAATGTATATGTAAGTCTATAAAAAATATGTTGTTTAAATATACGTTCTTTTTACTCCAGTAAATACAATTGTAGTGAAACCCGAATAAGGAATACATTTTTATTTTTAAACAAAATCTAGGTGAATCTAAACTTTTAATGCCACGCCACCCCCCGTATAAGTGGTTCGACTCCACTAGCCACTAACATAGACATTTCTTGATTTTCTTGTGTTTTAGAGAGTTGGCGGTAAAAACTTGCTTACGTGATATCTTTGTGCTGAAGCACGCCAAAACTGCATCTAGTTGCAATGTATTTTTGTTTTGTAAAATAATAAGATAACGTCGAATCCCACCGTTGGCCGGGATTTTTTTCATTTAATTTAATTATTTAAAATTAATTCTGATGCCTTGGTAGGATTCCCCACTCGACCATTCACTGTTGGGTTCTAATTAACAGTGCTGTTCCTAAAGTGGCGCTGGGAAACAGTGACAAAGCCTACACAGAACACAAGGCGAAATAACCTTAGCAGTTGAAGCCGATGACACACACAAAAAATAAGATAACGTATTGAGTGGCCTTTGTATGTGTCTTCTGGGACAGCGAAGTACTCGATATTTATTTACCATGTATTCGCATTAAAAGTTTTTTCGCCTACCATATGTGAAAAAGAATCATATCAACCCTAAAAATATGACCGAAAGTAACGTATATCGTCCCATGGGCTGCTAAACTCATAACAGCCCGATTTTGTAGTTTTTCACTAGATATCTAGATACCTTTGACTGTCACTTGCGTACTTTGACGTTTCACATAAATTTTGATTAAACGTCAGTGTAAGTCTATTAATGAACATGAATAGTCATTCAGACAGTGACGAAGAATTTACAAATACTCTACCAAACTTGCAAGAGGAAGCCAACAATGTTTCTCAAAATTAATTACTACAATAAATAAATTCGTACATTTTACTACTTAAGTTTCTTGTATTTGTAAAATTAAAGATTTTCATTATATTTTCCTTTTCTTGTTTTTTTTTTTTTTTTTTGAGGTGAAAAACAATTGTGTGTTACACATGCAGAAAACGCTTTAGCAGCCATTAGCTATCAGCTGTTCTCGCTTCGCTCGCTCATGCAGCTAATAGCCGTGCCGTGGGCTGCTAAAGCTCATTTTCTGTCTTTGTGACACAATATACTATATCGTGTAAACATTGCCAATGTCATTATATCATTGAAAATACCCAAAAAGCATGTTCATTCAAGTTCATACTTATATCCGAACCATAGGTAATAATTGTACATTTTATTTACTGGAATGAAAAGGGAAATCTGAATTTAAATTAAAATAATTATTTTAACGACAAGACACGTATTTATTTATTTAAATTGCTTTCAAGCAAATTCTATGTATGGTTTCTCTACATTTTCAGTAGGCTGCAAATAAGATAGTTAAAAATACAATTAATAATTTTGTTTTATTGAATTTATCAAAATAATAAACCTCGCATGTTATATCAGTGTTAAAATTTTTATAGTTTTATCAATGTACACTTAAATCGGCTTTAGAAAAGCTAAATGAATTAATTTATGAAAGTCACTTCATGAATAAATTGATAGATGTAAATAAATTAATGTTCATGATAATTGAATATGGTCTATTTTTCATCTATTTCTGCCTTGAAGTTCAAAAATACTAACATAAATACAAAATAAATGTTATCTGTCGTTATTAATAATAATTAATAATTTTGTATTGTATTTTATTAGGATTATTCTTACAGGCGACATAAACCTTGTGTACAATCCAGGAAGTGTTCAAGCAGTGGGATTCTCATATTTTGATACGTCACGAATCGAGACGCCTATCTTCGTTCGACAGACTGCGATTCTTATGTAATGTCGAGACGCAATTCTCTCTATTTGATACGTGACGTGTCGAGTTCGCACATAAGAATCCCTGTGCCGGTCATATTACTTTTAACCTCACTTATAATTTACATTTTTTGTTGTTGTGTTGGTACACTTATTTTTCTGATATATATGACACAAAAGTCACAAAATTTCATGAATGAATTGTAAATTTCTACACCCAAACTATCCGTGTATATCCAACGAAATAATTACCTGAACAGTGATCTGTTGCTGTTGCCCTTGATTTTGATCACTCTGGCCATGGTGCACCTTCTTGTGGTGATTCAATAAAGACAAATGTGCAAACATCAACCCGCATACGTCGCACTTGAAAGTGATGTTAGATATTGCATTTTGAGTTAATAAATTTTGATTGACCAAAGTATAATTATAGCTAAACGGTTGAGTTATGTAACATTTATCGTCTGTCAGCTGCGACATATTAACAGTGGAGTTGTGTGTTTGTGTGGTGTTTGGCGTGATCTTGTGGATCATGTTGACGTTTGCGTAACAGAATGGGGCGAAGGTGTCCTTTTGGTCTTGTCCTTTGTCCTTATCATTTTGCTGCGGTTGCTGATATTGTATCTGGGATTGCTGTGTTGTTATAGTATTTGGATCGAACATCATTGATAATTAGTAGACAGTAAAAACTGTCTGAAGTCTGAAAGAAATATGGCAATTAGATCACATCAAAGAAATTATTTAAAAATTTGGAATTTATTGTATGTTATTTATATGTTTGACGTCAACATTTTTATCTGTTAAGAACAAGTGTTGATTGATAAAACTTTAAACCAGGTTAAAACAAATTAGCCGTGTTGACAGTGTTAGAAAAAAGATAAGATTATTTATAAAAAAAAATAGTAACTCTGTGATTTATTCTTCAGTGATTCCAGAATAAAATATCAATGGTCATATTCAAGAGTTTAAGCATTTTTTCTTCTTTCACTCACTCGAGAGATGTATGACTAAGATTTTTCGCGAGATCGGTGTTGTACTTTATGTGAACAAAATATCGGCAAAGATAACCTCACTAAAATTAATATCTCAAAATAAATTATTTAATTTAACTTTCTTGTGGAGTTTTATGAAGTTTATATGGTTATATTATGTCTATTTAATTAGAGAATTTTCCGTTTTTAATTATTTTGGGAGATCAAAGACAATATTCATCATGAAATACAATTATATAAGCCTCACAATGGAAACAAGGTGAACACTCCAATTTAAATGGTCATATAATATTTTTACGAAATAAATGTAATGTTTAATCTTGGTCATTGGTACATTGCATTCTTTGTTCTTTTGCTGAACACCACAATTATCATTTGTCCTGCAGTAATATTATAAAAATAGGTGCATATCTATTTTTTAGGTACAATGTGGTACAAGTGGAATGAACATGTTTTAGGCGAATATTAAATCCTTGTGCAAAAGGAAGGCCAAATAAAAACAGTTTGTGCTCTTTTACCATGAAAATTTCATTTAAAAAAAAACTTATACATTTTTTCTTAAATTGGCAGGATTGGCGACTACTATTTGGGATAAAAATGGCGCACAAGATGGAAAGCTATGTCGCAACCCCCTTAGATATATCAGCCAATTCAACTAAATTCTGAGATGGTTGTCCTATGGTCTTCATAGTTGTCACCCAAATGAATTTGTTCTTTGTATTAATGGATGGATGTATGGATCAATTAACATAATCCTAAATTATTAAATAGATAAGAAAAATGTGGTTCGATGTGGAACTAAATAGTAAAAAAAAAACAAAGTGCTTATAGATTTCAAAATTATTAATTTGTTTTCTTTAAAGATTTCCAAATTTTACTTCTTCAACAGAAATTTTTCTAAAGGAGGCCATGACAGATATACGAGTCACGTCCTTGATAACTATACACGGCTCTGAAACTGCCACTGAAAAAAAAAAAGAATTATACCCTTGGTACCATATTCTCGAACTCATGAGAACGCTCCTACACTCTCCTACTCGACATTGAGTCGATTGCTTCATCACAAGTGTTGTCAGAAAACCAAAATCAAATTGTACAATGCTCTAGAAATTATTTTTTTTTTCTTATAATTTTATGGTACAAAATTGACCTTTCTAATGTGACCTTATCGGAGGCTGGTTAATTTAATAAGAGTTTATGGGATTAGGGTTAGGGTAATTGAATAATAATTTTATTGAATAAACATACAAACAAAAGAAAAAATAACAACCTATTCTTGTTCAGCTAAAGTTTCAAAAATAATTTTTTTTTTTTGTAATCATAAAATCCTTTCTGATTTTGATCTTCCAATTGTTTGTGTCTATACATTTTTAAATATGTCATGAATTTTATCATTTCATATGTAGGTTTAAAACCTACTCATCCATTATCCAAACAACCCCACATGTATTTCCTTATGTAAAGTGGAGACTGGTCAAATTTTCTGAAACTTTGGTATGTTACTGTATTCAACCTAGTAACCAAACGTGTAAATAGGCTCAACTTAATCCTATGAACAGTTTTCGATATACAGGATGTTAAAGTTGAAAATTGCCTAGTTTTTGAAATTTTTATTATTAAACTTACGAGCTAGATTGAATTTCTGTTGTATACACACACACACATTACTACATGTTTTAGTAATACATTAGTACATACGTATCATTAAAAATATTTTTAGTTACAGAGTGATTCTCAAATTTATGATGGTACTTTTCCCAAAATCTCACTAATTTTACTGTGACATCACACTACTACACAATATGGTATTTTGCCAACAAAATATACAATACATTTCCTCTACAGGGTGTTCTAATAGAAACAGTTAGATTACTTCTGTATATTTTAAAATCTTATGGTTACATACCTACCTAAAATGTAATGATATTAACTTACTCAAAAGTCACTAAAGAAATGAAAGGTCGTCTTTTTAATAATTTTAAAACATAATTATTTTTTGGTGGTTGGCGCATCCTGTATAAAAAGAACTTAATGAAATAATAATCGTGAAGCACCCCGTAACAATTATTTTAAACCATTAGCAGCTTGTGTCCAAAATATTGGGGGTTCACAATGACAGAATATAGATATGTATTTGTACAGATGTAGGTAAACAACTTTCAGAGTCTTCGGTATTATATACCTTTCTATACCTATACCTTTCTAAAACACTGAAAGATTTTTACCTACATCTATACTGATATCTATATTCTGTTATTGTGAACTACCTACCAATATTTTGGTCACGAGCCGCAGCTGTTTTAAAGACAATCTAGCTTTTCAATTTAAAGAAATAAATATAGTTTAAAAAAACTAAAAAACACGCTTTTAAAGCATATCAAACTAAAAAGTTAAAAATAATTTTTCAAATAAGCCTAAAACAATAGTAAATGGAAAATACTAGTATTATTGTGAAAAAAGCGTCGGGCGCTCGATGTTCGAGAAATATGGACAAAGCGCCCCACGCTTTTTTCACAATAATACTAGTATTTTCCATTTATTATTGTTTTAAGCTTATTTGAAAAATTATTTTTAACTTTTTTGTTTGATATGCTCTAAAAGCGTGTTTTTTAGTTGTTTAAACTATATTTATTTTTCACTTTTTAGTTCGATGTATTATAGAAGCGTGTTTTTTAGTTTTTTTAAACTATATTTATTTTTTACTTTTTAGTTCGAATAATTATTAAAAAAAATTGCTGAAAAAAAAATTATTTTTTTTCAGCCGTGAACGGGATTAGAACCCACGATCGGTGAGTCGACGTGAGTGAAGACCCGCGCCTTAGACCGCTCGGCCAAAGAACGAACTTGAGGTAGTGGGATATACTGACAGTAATAAGCCACTTGCTTTTAGTCCAAAGGAGAGGTACAAACATACATACATACATACAAACAGGTGAAGCTAATAAAAACGTGTTAAAAATAAAGTAAAACCAACAATTCTCCACTTTAACGCCATATATCTTGAAAACTAGTCATAGTATCAGATTTAAAATACATAATGGTGTTAAAATTATTATATATCGAGAAAATGGTTACATTTGACTTGGGAAAGTTTAGGGTGTTTGTGGTTTTTGTACTTTTATTAAAATAAAATATCTTCCAACAAATAAGCCACCTTATATATACAATATTGTGAGGCTTATAGGTACGCATATTTTAGTGATATTACTTTTCCCAAAAAACAATTCATAATAACAGGGTTTTGAAGTAATCCTTAAAAAAAATATTTTGTTGTCACTATAAAACACCCTGTATAAGAAATGTTTATCGTGCAATATGTGGTTAACAAAATACCATGCTTCCCTGACGTTACACTAGAATTAGTGAGATTTTGCAAAAAAACTACCGTCACATTTGTGAATCGCCCTGTAATTAAAAATATTTTTAATTGTACGCATGTCATAATTTGTATGCAACAGAAATTCAATCTAGCTCGTAAATTGGAAAATAAAAATTCCGAAAAATTGGGCAAATTTTCAGTATTTCATACAAATACGATAATTATAGTAAATCTTGCAACACGGCTCTCGCTGTTGACATAATTTCTTATAATTTTAGTCGAGTGACATGTGCAGCAAGGGCAAATTGTGAGAGAGTGTTCCCACACTCATTTTCCCATAGTTGGAGAATAGGCTCTGAGGAGACTAGATTTGCCAGACGTCACGCTTTTGGCGTATTTGCAACGCTTTCGGACTTGCTTGTACGCGCAACGCCACAGTACGAAAATACCACGCTTTTAACAAAAATGCCACGATTTTGACAAAAATGCCACGCTTTTTTAATTTAAAGTCGCAGAGGAACCGGATTTATATAAAAATAGACAAATCTCCAGGTAAAGGACCCTCGTTTTTTACGAAAAATAAGCTGAGGACCTTTTTTTTAGAAATTTCACCAAAAAATGGACCTGATTTTATAAAAATGCTTGGTATTTGAACCTAATGCTCTGTCGTCACGGTTGTCACGCTTTTCACTTTCGGAAATCTGGCAACCCTAGAGGGGACCTATACAGGGTGTTTCCGAACTTGGCGTCCAAATTTGTAGGGGTGGCAGTTCGCATAATTTGAGACCGATTCGCAGATTTCATTTTTCCAAAATATTTAAAATTAAAATAATTAAAAATTAATTAAAAATTTTAAACAGGTACGGTCCTGCACAGCGATGGGAACGCCTCCCTCGACTCGCCCGCGCTACGATCGCACTATAAAAACAATCGGCTACGTCTTTCGATACCGGCCGGGCGGAGGGAGAAATTTGCAAATCGCATCTGTTTTTGAGTTGTAAATCCCGATGAGTAAAGGTGCATTTTGCAAGCAGCGATTGTGGCGATGATCGCTGAGCGATAATCGCATTGAATAATCGTTTACAACTGCGATCATATTTGCCCTAAGATCACGCGAGGAGATAAACTCACTAGCGTCTATTATTATCGCTCATAGGAAAACGGAAGTATGTAAAGATCGTCTAGCAGTAGTCCGCTATGATCGCTGTGAGATTATCGCTCAGCGATTATCGCCACAATTGCTGCTCGCAAAACGCACCTTAACCTTTTTTTATAATGGCTCTATTTTGTTTATTATAATTTTTTTGGACGCCAAGTTCGTAAACACCCTATATATTTTCAAAGTATGGGAGCACTCATTTCTCTCAAGATTCTCATAAAAAATGTCAATGTGGAAACGCTGTTTTTAAAGGCTTCGAGGATTAAAATTCTTAGGAGAATTTTAATTCTCCCTAAATAAACCAAGAGAAACAGTCAGTGAGTTCACACTCTGGCCCTAGAGGCCCTTAAATACTGTTTTACGTTGGCGTATGACAGTTCTCTTGAGATAAATTAATTCTATCGAGTTTGAAAATAGCCCCCCTGTTGATATGTGTGAATTTTTCCAGGACTTACTTAGAAATATTTTTTGTGGATCACACCATATTTGACTACTTGAATTTCAAGACATGCAATTTCAACACATAACAAATTCATTTATAGATATTGTTCCTGTGTTTTTCAATCGATCGATATTGCAGTTTACTATGCTGCGTTTGAGAATCCATATCGGATGCATCTGAGATGTAGTAAATCTTTGATCATGTGATTCAGTATAGTAAATGTAATGGGACAGATGTGTCGGATGTGGATAAGAAACGCTCGAGATGTAAAAAATGCATCCGATGTGGATTCTCAAACGCGGCAATAGTTATTTAAAACCAAACTCTTCACAACACTGAAGGGTAGGTAGAAGGGTTGCCAATTGACCCCCTTTTGCGGATTTCCCTTATTTTTAATGCTTTGTCCCACGCCCTCCCATTTTCTTGAAATCTAAATAGGCAACTTTAACAAGAAATATAAACACACGACAATAAGACTTTGAGAATAATGAATATGATTTTTAATTTGTCAATAAAAGAAGGAAGTTAATCATATGCAACTAACAATACAAGAAAGTATAGTAATATTGGTTGCCTAGATGTCAAATTTTTTACCAAAACACAATTTTATAAATAATAATCTAGTAAAAATATGTTGGGGGACCTAAGGCAAAAAACTGGTTTCATAAATACTTAACTATATTGATTTAATTTATTCAATTCAAAAGATTATTTATTTTTTAGTGATCCCCTGTATTATGACCAGCTGATTATTTATTTTTTCTTTAATAAAATATCCCTTACCTATCATATTACTACATACAAAAGGTCAAATTTGTCTAACCCAGTTTATTTTCAGCACTTATTTTTATGTCGTATTTTATCATTGAAATGAGTAATTTTGCATTTCTAAACAAACCTTTATGAAAATGTGTGGGAATCTAAAAATAACATATTTGCATAATACATAGGTATAATATATGCTAAGTGCATTCTTAAGAATTTGCTTTTCTTAGGAAAAACGTCAATTAATAGCTTCGTTATAAATAAATGAACAGGGAAAAGCCGGTTGTTTACAGTTACAAGAAATTAAAAATATTTATTTACAGTACAATGAATTAAAATTTAATTATAATGTAAATGATAAAATCAAAATATCAAAGGGTGCGGCAGCGGCAATCTGTTCTACAATTTCAAAAATATTGTTGATGTCAATCGAAACATAAAATTGCGAATGTCTATCTTCTCACTCAAAATTTATCTCTTTTTATAACAAAGATGCTGATAAAATGAAATGAAATAAGTATAAGTAACAAAGAAAACCGATTACCTTCTCTCACACAATGGTCTTTCTTGAGAGACGCGTATAATATGAAGTCTTCAAACACTCACTTATGACACTTGGAATCAAATTTGGCAATTAAAATCAATTTAAAACCGAACTATTGATCTCTTTCAATCAAAAAATTGTCAAAATAGACTAAATATTACAAAAATGTTCACAAACAACTTATTCTATCTCACTTTAGAAAATGGCGGATAGATCCATAGCCATCTTTGTTCCCCTCGTAGTTCGACTGCGTAGAATTTTGAGAACGGCAATGCGCATGATTCAACAAATTAGATGCGTTCATCGAATACGCAAATTCAACATCGAATTATTCCTTATCCTTATATGTGACAAAATTATTATTTTCGTTGAGCGATCTCTATATTTAGAAATATTATTAGTTTTATATGATCTATTTTTAACTGCGTTTATCACATTGATGCTTTTATTTTTACTAATACGTTTATGTTTTCTAGAATTCCCACAACCAAATTTATGTGTTAATTTTTAAAGTAATACATATAAATAATCAAAAATGCAGTGCTTTCGTAGAAATATTCAAAAATACGTAGATATCTTCCTAGATAGGTAGAAAGGCATTTACTTTGATGTTCTCATAGGTATAAGGTATAGGCATGGTAAAGGTACCTAATACCCAGACCAGCATTATTTTATTTCATATCTAGAAAGTTAAATTTAAAAAAATTGGATTACATTTTTATCAAACTCTTATAATTTTGTCAAATAATTTACCCACAAACATTATATTCTATTTTGTATTAATTTATATGAAACTTTCTATATGTCAGAACGATTTTGTGTTATGACGGTACTGGATTCGATGTAAGCGTCAGAAATTTAGTAACATTTCATGTTTTCCCAAATAGTGAAGGTTGTGTGTGTGTTGGGTTGCGATGTCGGATATAGGAAGTGGTGATGAAGGTTCAAGCTCGCAAAGTAAGTGCTTGAAATTGTTAAATTTCTTGTTGTTAAAAGTGTAAGGTTTTCACTTATTAAAAAACGAAAGGACATCATCCACCATTATGCACTTATTCACGAAATTTCTTTGCGATTTTGACAAGTCGACCAAAATGGCGATCCGATTGTTCTCTTTAAAAACTTTTTCTAAAATCTCGTTAAACGTCAAAATAAACGCATGATATAGGTTGATATGCATGAAAATTGTTAAGTTATTTTGTTTTTGGATTAGTTTTTGACGAACTGGGTCATAAAGTATGTCAAAATTACCGCAAAAGACCTGCATAAGTTAAATATTGTCGTAGTCTAATAATGACCTTGGCCAACGTCGATTTGGTTGCCTTTTACTCGAACCAAACGTCAGTTTGGTGGAAAATGAACCTTATTGAGCAATTTGATGTTTTTGATCAATTTTTGTAAAAATCTACTCCTAAAAATCGTGAATGTTAAATGTATGTTTATTTAGCATGAAGTCTTGACTAGTAGAGCAGTTTTAGTTACAATTTGTTCGTGTTTTCAGAATATCACCAGGGTATGGAGCAGGGAAGTGAATATGATTCAGGTAAGTCCTTCAAATATGTTAGCCCTAGCCAACAAAAATAAATTTAATGTTTTCTTTTTTATATAAATAAAATTGTATAAAATTACATCACTCCTTAAGATTAGAGACATTATCAAACCAATTCAATGTTTTTGTTTTATGAATGGAGATCTTGCATGATGACTCATTGGGTTCTAGGAATTTCATAGTAACTTCTACTATAGCATTCTGATTCATGATTCATAACTAGTTAGTTGAACCAATTCCTTTGCCGGTCAGGTTACTTTTTATATTTTATTAACAAAATGTCAGAAGAATGGACTTTTGGTAAAATTCAATATTGGCATGATCCCAGTATGTTCCTTTGTACTATGAACTCTTCATTGACTCAAGTTATTATCTCAGTGTATTTTTATTTAATTTTTTAATGACTCATAACCTCAATTTATATATATTTTTTAAATTTTAGGTCAACAGCAGGTTGAGCAGGAGTTGGCAACTAAAATGTTGCAGATCCAAAGTAAACGATTCTATTTAGATGTCAAACAGAATAGACGTGGTCGATTTATTAAAGTAGCCGAGGTATTTTCCAATGATTTCGGTGTCCTGCTAAATGCTAACCATTATTTTTTGTATATAGATTGGAGCTGACGGTCGCCGTTCGCAAATTTTCCTTGCTTTATCAACTGCTGCTGAGTTTAGAGATCATCTCTCAGCCTTTAGTGACTTCTACTCTTCTCTTGGTGAGTAAATTTTGTTGTTTTTCTGAAATGGATTTTTTTCTTTGTGTTTACATTGCAGTGCAAACGGACAGTTTTTATTTGAATGAAATTCTTTATTGATCTCGGATATCTAAATAATTGTAGTTTAGTGTCTTAATAAAGTACATGTCCATACCATTGCTACTCCAACTTGTTATGACAATTAGAATTGTTACCTGTTATCTTTGTTATCCTTTATTGTTACCTAGGCACCATACCATACCATGTTACCATAGTACCTAGCCAGGGGTATAATATAGTAATATTTCAAATCTAGGTAAAAGTAAATTTGAGTTCCCAGATATGCTATAAAACATATTTTCGAGGGCAAAGAAATTTTTTGAAATAAATAAAAATATGCTTTAATTATAGATACTTTTGGTGATTTTTGTGAACACAGATTTTATTTGTCCTCAAAATTAAAAGATAAAACAAATGGCAAAACAAAAATGGCAACATAACAGGTGTAAACTTCAAATTCTAAACGTCAGTGCAGAGTGGCGTGGATATACTCATTCACTAGGACAGGGATGATGCTTAAACTATAATATAAAAGTGAGAAAATAAAGCTCTAAATCTATCTTGCATATAAAAATTTGAAAATTTGACAAGTATTAATAAAGATGACAATAACTAATTTTTTCCAATTTAAAAGATGTACTAATTTCTTCAGCAGTTGATCTACTGCACCATAATAGTATACACCACACAGCATGTACTTTTAGCATTCCTACTGAACCCCCTACTAAAGCATTGGATGTTGAAGATAAAGTTTTTGATTTTTCACAGGGTAACTATGATGCTATTAATTATTATCTATCTACAATAGATTGGGCTACTTATTTAACCAATACGGATGTCAATGTTGCAGTACAACAACTGTATGATGTATTGTACTATTCAATGCACTCTTTTATACCCACAAAGATTATAGGCAATACAAAAGTTTCAACTTGGTATAGCTCTGAACTAAAGAGCTACATATTTGAGAAGAAGAAAGCACATACATTATATATGCAAACCAGAAATAATAATGATTATTTATTATTCTCCATCTTAAGAATAACATGCAAAACACTAACTGATGAATGTTACCAACAATATATTGCAAGGGTTGAGAACAATATATCAACAGACCCTAAATCATTTTGGCGCTTTGTTAAAGATAAATCAAGGGGTGAATTTCCGAATGAAATGTATCTAAATAATAAAATTAGTAATAATGGCTGTGATACTGTAAATTTATTTGCTGATAATTTACCTACAGTTTATGTCAAGACTGACTGTAATGTACCTGTATTAAACTATGAGAAAACCATTATTGTAAATAATGTAAAAGTGACCTTGAGTGAAGTTTTTTCTAAAATTTCTCAATTAAAAGACAGTTTCTCTTGTGGTCCAGATGGAGTTTCATCTTACTTTTTAAAGAGTTGTGTCTGTACTGTTAGTACTCCTATTTCTATTATTTACAATATTTCACTTGATTCAGGAGTATTTCCGGATTTTTGGAAATACAGTTTTATAAGACCAATTTATAAATCGGGATGTAATCGTGACATTAAAAATTATAGAGCAATATGTTTGCAATCTAACATTCCAAAAATTTTCGATTCACTCATTACAGAATATTTGTTATGGGAATGTAAAGGGCTAATAATTGATCAACAACATGGTTTTTCACAAGGAAAATCTCTACAGTAACTGCCTTTTTAAGTTATCAAAATGAAATATTGAGTGCTTTTGAGGGGGTATCAAGTACATTCTGTCTATACTGACTTCTCAAAAGCATTCGATAGAGTTAACCATGAATTATTGTTGATCGCCAAGTTGAGCTCATATGGTATCAATGGTAAACTTTTAAATTGGCTATCTAGTTTTTTAATTGGTAGGTATCAGTGGGTCAAAATTGGGAATCACATTTCTTATTTGATTGAAGTATTGTCTGGTGTTCCTCAAGGATCCCATTGTGGTCCGCTTCTTTTTAATCTATTTGTAAATGACATTGCATGTTGTATGAAAAAGTCTCAGTTCCTACTATTTGCAGATGATTTAAAAATCTTTAAAATTGTTGAAAGTATATCTGATTGTTTTGATTTACAAACTGATATTAACGATCTAGCATTGTGGTGTAATGTAAATTGTATGAATTTGAATTTAAGTAAATGTTTTTATATTAAGTTTAATAGGTGCCATACTATTATAGACTATACTTATTGTATCAATTCATTAGATTTTGAATTGGTGACCCAAATAGAACCTTGGCGTAATGTTTGATGAAAAACTTACTTTTTCAAAACACATTACAATGATATCATTAAAAGCCACAAAGTTGTTGGGTTATATACAAAGAATCTCTAATGGTCTCTCAATAAATTCTTTACTGCACTCTTGTTCATTCTAATATGGAATATGCAGCTGTTGTCTGGAACCCTTATTATTGCATTCACATTAATATACTTGAAACGGTTCAACATAAGTTTCTGAGATGCTCAACATATAAATTAGGAGTGCCTATAAATAATTACGATTATGATTATGCTAACCTATGTTCCAGATTAGAGATCACAACTTTGCAGAACCAGAGAACTCAATTAGATATATGCTTCCTATTCAAACTTTTGTCTGGGTCAATATATTCTCCTGATATTTTATTAAAAATTGGTCTTAAAATTAATAGTGCAACTAGAGCTAATGAAACTTTTTTTATTAGACACCATAGACAAAATTACGGCTTTTATAGTCAACACGATTGGTTAGAAGTGCTAACAGTATAGAAATAGACTTGGATTTTTTTGGTTCGTCATATCCTTCATTTAAAAGAAGTATTGCTAACCACTTTCTTAATGACACTTGAAAGTACTGTTATTGTCTGCATTGTTAATCAAATGTTTTACATGATACAATTTTTGATGTTGTTTTTTATTTTGTATTTGTGCATATAACATATATTTTTTATTGTAAAACGGGATTTTCCCGTAAATAAATAAATAAACTAGTAGTGTAATGACATACTTACCTAGGATCTTTGGTGGTTTTTTAAGAACAAACTACATACATAACAATTAAAGGCTTTCATGGATGCACTAACATTAGTGAACTTAGTTTAAAAGATGATAAAGTTGAATAGTTTAGACAAAAAACTTAATAACTAGGTGTGGGATCATTAATAGTAAAACAAAACACAGAAGAAGTGAGATATTAACTAAACGTCAACGGAGCATAGACACACTAATGCCAGCTGTGCCAGCCTTCATAAAAGGGCCAGTAACTAAGGCAGTAGAATTATTTAACTAACCACAACCCCTGTTGTCAAAGGAAAAGTCGAACAGTTGAGGGACATCAATGATTCAAGGTGGTAGTTACCATATTTAAACAACTTGCGGCCAATTATGAGAAGGTGGGAGAAAATAAAGTGAGCCCAATTGTAGGTGGTTAAATAAACTCCATCTTGAAGGTTGAAGTTACTGTGTGACCCAGAGCTGGATCCAATTAAACAAATTGTAAAGATGTTTAGAAATCGCTACATCTGCATGTTTTTACGGAATGGACACAACACTAAGATTTTCGAGAAGATTTTAGTACACAAAATTGAATTAATATAATAGCGAGGAAACATCCAATACTAGAAGATTACTAAAAATAGTTAACAAAGTGATAAAAAATGGAGGTTAATGTTAATATGGCTTCAGTGCGCATGTACAATCTAAACCAGGGATTCCCAAACTATTTTGGGCAAGAGACCCCTTTTCCTCATATTACTTTAAAAATCCTATATCTAGTTTTTCTATTTATACAAAATACCCATTTAAAAACATTGCAGTTGGTAAAGTGAGTAAACTTGAAATGATTTTTTTTTCATCAAAATTTAACAAAATAAATAGACATAAAATTCAGTAATTATCAAGTGTAATTAGTAATTATTAATACAAATTACGTAAAAATATTGAAGTACGTAATTATTAAAAAAAAAAACGAAAGTAAAGATGAAATAAAAAATGAGGCAGTCAACTTCTAATAGCCTTGGTTGAACTTCTGTTTAAGCTTCTCGTCTGTGTTGATGGTGATCAACTCTTCTTGCATTGGCTTCTTCCATGGCTGTGATCCGAGAATACCGATCAAGGAGAAGCGACAGTAGCTGTCGGTGCCTTTGATATCGGATGTACCTTTTTCATAGTATGACTTTGACTGATACACAACTTAGCACGCTGAGAAAACATGCTTATTTTCTACACTGAGCGAAATAGTTTGGCAAATTATCTGAAATTTTGCTATAGTCCATACGCAAATGTTGCAATGTGATTTAATTACATTGAAGTAGTTAGGGTTAATAGCAATGCTGAAATTTCGGCACCAAAATATAATTCATTAAGTAATAAATAATTATTTATTATAAAAGTAAAAGACGTTTATTATTTTATAATTTATCTATAAAATTTGTTCAATATTTGGTTTATTTATTGTTAAAAATGTAATAAAAGCCCCATATTTATATTAAATTACCTTTTCCTTAACTAAAAATAAGGTAAATAAAATTAAGGGTGTCAAAAAAAATTTAGGTAACAATTAAAAAGACATTAAGTTTGAGAGGTTTAACTAAATATTTGCAATGTGCATATATTTTCAAAGCCTTTAGGTATAAAAAGTACTTATATATTTTTAGAATTTCTAGATTTATATTATATTAAAAGAACTTTCAAGTTTATCACTCATTTCTGTAGAAACAAGTGTTTTCTCGCCAAGTTAAACCAGATGTCATTTAAGGTTTATGTATTTAGAGTTAAATACCTGGCCTGGCTATTACCCAGACAATACAAATATGTCCATTGGACGTCCAAAAATGAGTTTTCTGGACTTCCGACATCCAATGGACGTCCAGTGAAGTATACAAATGGCACACTTTTGACCATTCAGAGGACGTCCAATTCTGGAATATATTTGGACGTCGAATACTGGACATTCAAAAAGCGTCCAGGATTATATTT